GTGGAGACCCTAACCAAGGTGACTCCTTCACTGCCAGGCCTCAGTGCTGGTGTCCTCCACGCCCCTTGTACACAGGCAGTGCCATCGGGGTGGTGGCAGGGTGGCCTCAGAGGTCGCAGGTCCTCGTGGTCCAGGCCAGCACTGCTTGGAAAATGATTCCCTGAGACTCAGCCCCAGCCTGCTTCCTGGAACCTTCTGGTTTCATAAACACGTAATCCTCATGCTTAATCCTTCCTCCTGAACCTCGGCGCTGCGTTCTGATGTACCCTATGCTTTAATTACTTATTCAAATGTCATTTTCCAGACAAGACAGCCGGCGTCATGCCAGCAGGGACAAGAGAGTCGTGTCTATCACGTGGCACTCGCCACGGCACCTGTGCAGACAGAAGCTCTGCCCTCAGTGCTGAATGTGGGGTCTGCACTCCGTCCCCCATGAGCTCCTCCTGTGAGAGCAAATGTCACTGAGGCTGCCATGGTGACAAGGAGGACCCGGCCACCCAGAGCATCCATCCCAGGGCCCAGAAGGAAAATCTAGCACAAACTAAAGCAGAGCTCTAGAGCAGAGGAAGGGAACGGACCCCACCGCTGGGAAGCAGAAGGGCGTCATTGTCACTGACTGGGTTGTGGCACCAATCAGACAGGATTCCAGTGTTTGCTCCGCCACTTACAGGCTGTGAAGCTTTCAGCAAGGGATTTAACTCTCCAAGATGCCCATTTTTCCATCTGTAGAGTGGGGAAAATAATATCTAAATTCCAGGATTTTTTTTGCAGATAGCAGGTGTTAATACTTGTATTTCTTCACAAAGCCATGGGGCCAGCAGCCGGCAGTGCTCTGGTGGACCTGTTTTCCTGGCTCCTTTGGGCTTTATTCTGTCCCTCACACATTCACCTGGCCTGAGCAGGTAAGGAGGAGCACTCAAATTCTAGGTGGCAGCATCCTTGCTATAACATGTGACCTTGTGACCGGGACTGGACATGTTCACAAGTGAGGGCGCCACCACCCCTCATCGTCCCCAACACAAACGCCCTTTGCCTCACCCCTCCATCCACAGGCACCTGTGGGTGCCGCTCAGGGAAGGAGACTGGGTGAAGACGAGGAACTGGGGGTGGGGGAGAAGGAGGAAGTCTCAGTGCTTGAGTTCAGAGAGCGGGAGGGAGGAGGGATGGATCCAGAGATGACAGACAGCTCATCTCTCTCCACCTTCTCCCTTTAGAAAGTTTCCTCTGCAGACCTGAGCAAAGCCGGAACTCCCAGCTTTGAAGATTACTAGGGCTTAGCAGCGTGTAGGTCACAGGTGACGAGGGTGTATGTACGCGTCCTGGCCTGGACGGAGCGGGGTTAATGGGGAGGGCGGGCAGAGAAACGGGTATTTTAGAGGAAGGTTAGGAAAGCTCTGGAATGCAGGCCTCACAGGAGAACACACCATCCCAGGGGTCCCAAGCCAGGGACTGCAGGAGAAAAGCCATTTAGGGGCATCAGATCCACTCCAAGGACCCCCCAGCTCCTTTCCCTGAGCCCCCTTGGCAGAAACGTAAAGGTTCTCTGTCCGTCTCCTGGCAGCCCCTCCTGACCTGGGAGACCTGCCAGCTCTGGCCTAGGTTCTTGGGTTCAAGTCCCCATTCTGCCACTTCCAGGGAGGAGTGCTGGGCAAATTCTCTAAACCGGACTCCACTCTGCAGCTGTAAAATGGGCCCAGCAATACTGACACTGGGTACAAACAACAGGGCTGTGGGAGAGGCTTGGAGAGGGATGACGTGGGAAGCATTCACTCCGAGATGGTCACTATTTTCAATGCCAGTGACACCATTGGGTCCCGGCCTATGCTACCCAGCCTGTGCCCACGCAATAACCCTGCCCTCATCCAGCTCCAGGCCCCCCAGCCCATCTCTCAACATCAGCTGTTTCCATGACACCCCAAGTTTGGGGAGCTAATTTTAATGAAGAACATTGATTAATACCAAATTACTACCTTTCTTTGTGTCCCTTCTGTCATTTAGAAATGGAAACAAAAGACATTCCTGAGCTAGAGTCAAACATTTACCAAATTCATTCTTCAGCAATTGTTTGAGATTTCAAGGGCTGGTGGTTGTCCTCCCCCCCCCCCTTAACTATACTCATCATACAGTAATTGCTTGATTAAGGGTCGCACAGCTTGGAGAGTGACACATTTTTTAAAATTAGAACACGCCTGCCAACGGACACAGTTATGCAACTGGTTTTCTCTTTCCCAAGCAACTTGATCCTCAAGGAGAAACCACAGGACAGTCAGGGGCCCCAGCTGCCTCCCACCCCACTTCCTCCTGTCCACACCGGCTCTCAGGAAGACGGAGGCTAGGGATTCAGGAGGAGGCACTAGTTCAAACCCTGACCCCGCTCCTCCTGGGACCCATGGCCCTTGCCGGGCACCAGGCACACAGAGGGCCTTAGACCTGAACGCTGCTCTCTGAACCAGCGTAGGGGGCAGTACCAGCAGGGGGACAGTGCCATAAAGAAAATCACTGCACAACGACAGAAAGATGGGCTGGGAAGGTAAAGGGCACAGCAAACCTTCCCCGCTGGCACTGCTCCTATTCCTCCTCTGGACTAAGTGTCCCCTCTGAGAGCCTTGTTGAACCCCAGGCTGAAGGAGCAGTGTCCCCCAGGCCGGTTTTTCCCTCTGGTCCCCTCTGCTCAGTGCCAGTCTGTAACCCAACAGCTCCATCCTCGGGTCCATTTCTATGTGATCATCTGCACGCTGCAGGGGCTGGACCGCTCTGTCTTTTGTCTGTATTCCCATTGTCTAGAATGGAACCTTGCTTGTCATTAACGCACAATAAACATTGGCTCGTGAAAGGGTGGATGGGTGGGTGGGTGGCTGTGTGTGTGTGTGTGGTGGATGGCTGGATGGATGAATGGTTGGATGGTTGTGTGAACGGCTGGGTGAACGGCTGGGTGGATGGCTGGGTGGATGGATAGATGGTTAGTTGTCACGTGGGCAGATGAATGAATGAGTGAACAAGAATGCAAGTGTGTAACTATTGCCCTGAAAAGGCCACCACCCCCTCCTATGAGATAAAATCATTACTGAACTGCTTCTGACCCAGGCTTCCTGGGGGTGGGGAGGGAACAGCAGGCCAAGCTAGACGGCAGAGGTCAAGAATTCTCCTAACCTTTGACCATGGTTGGGGCCCCTTTTTGGGTTCCACTTTCCCACCTGAAGCATGAGGGATTTGGTTAGATGATCTAGGAGGTTCCTCTTAACTCTGATCATGTGGAAGTCTACAAAATGAACCCAAAAGAGCCAACCACAAATGACTATATAGCATTTGATTCCATTTACATAAAATTTCCAGAATAAGCTTTTTTTCTTTACCAGGAATTAAACCCACAACCTCACACCTTCTATGCAGGCACTGTACTACTGAGCTATACCCCCCAGGCTAAAATAGGCAATCCTATGGACAGAAGCTGGTTTGGGTTTGCCAGGGCTGGGGTGATGCAGGGATTGGGGAGGATGACAGCTAAATGGCTCAGATTTTCTTTTTGAAGGGATGAAATCTTCTAGTTCTAGTGATAGCTCCAGAACTTTGTGAATTCACTAACGACCATTGGGTTGTAAAAATACTAAAATCAGAAAATAAGAAGTAAGTGTGGTTGAATGAACCGGAAATGAGTGATTAGGACTGAGATCCTGAAAACTACACTCGGAAGGGAGCCACTGGTGTCACCTGTGTGAGTTACAAGGGGCATCCGGTACCAAGAGGAGGTTGGGGTCACTCCTGGATGCTCTGCCCCAGAGAGCTCAGAGAACAAGGCGCAAGATTTCCCTGGACTCCTGACCTCCTTGACAAAGCCGTCATCTCTCTGTGACACTTCAGACCCAAGGCCAATTTGCAGTTCCCTTTGGTGGAGAATCTGTCTCCAATCCCACCAAGTGCAAACACAGCTTCTCACCAGGAAGGTGAAATCTGTCTGTCTCAGCAAAGCCGCTTTCCCAGCATCCTCCACAGGAGGAGCCCTGTCCTGGGCCCTTGAGTATGGTTAGCCCTCCCATAAGCACCCTGGGTAATTCTCTTCAAAGAGGCTGCCTGGCCAAAGGAAGTGATTTGTATCACTTTGCATGGCAAGCATAAGGACTGGAACCCAGCAACCTAGGTGCAGGCTCTGTGCTCTTAACCCTGACACCATGCAGATGGCCGACGGCAGATGAGCCAGAGATTCTGGTCCCCTCCACAGCCACCAGGTTGGATGCAAGTGAGGAGGGGGTCTTTTGATTTTCACTCAGTCTTTGCGCTACAGGGCTAACATCGGCAGCTCAGGGACCAAAATCTGGAGCCCTGAGTCCTGACCCCAAGCAGTTCTGGGGTCCTTCTTATAACAGCCATGGTCACTGCCATGACAAAGGGTGATTCTTCTCAGGTGCCATTGTGGAGATAGGCACACCACATGTGTCAGCTCTTGTGAGTCTCCAGCCATCCCAGGAGGGAACCACCTCAGCTCTGGATTACAGATGAGGAAACTGGGGCTTTACCCAGCACTATGGTACATACCTGTAACCCCAGCACTCTAGGAGGCTGAAGCAGGAAGGATGGCCAGCCTGAGCACAGCCTGGACAACTTAGCAAGATCACATCTCAAAAAATAAATGGCTGTGTATAGCTCAGTGTGAAGGCCCTGAGTTCAATCCCCAGTATCACAAAAAAAAAGAACACATGAAAAGAAAGAGAGAGAGAGAGAGAGAGAGAGAAAGAAAGAAAGAAAGAGAAAGCAAGCTAAGGCTTGGAAAGGATGTGACATTCTCTAGGGTTCAAATCCAGCTCTGCCTCCTCCAAAACCTGCCTCCTCCGGCTGTGCGTACAGCTCCTCCCCTCCCCGGCTGGGCACAGAGCCAGTTAATCTCCCTGAGCTGAGCATCCCAGCTCGAAAAAGAAGACTGTAAAACCTCCCTGCAGGCTGCTAGGAGGATTAAGTGGAAATGATCTGATATGATGTAACATGATAAGACATGACATAACAGAAGATAAAGTTCACATAATATGTTTTATATGATGTAATATAAATGATATAGCTCCCTCCATTACCACACAGTAGATTAAAATAGAACACACTTCCCCCCTCCAGGGAGTCCCAGCCCTGGTACAGGAGCCCCGATGTGCTAGGCTTTCTCACAAGATGCGCTGAAGGAAAGCGGGGCCGGCCCCGCCAGCGAGCAGCAGGTGCTGACGTGTGCCACTGTTACCATGGTTAAAAGCACTCCTACCCTGCCGCACAGCCAGAGCCTCACCAAGCGGGACCTCTGCGGAGGGGAGGAGGGGACGCCAGGCACAAGGTTCCTGATGCTGACATTGTCTGACACTAGGGCACACGGTCAGCACAGGAGACTGACATCTGTCATCTAGCATGCCAAGGGTCTCTCTGAGTCCCTGGAAGCCTATCGCATGTGCTCAGTGCTCAGTACTCAGTACTCGGTTCTGCTTAGTCAGTCAGATGCTGAAATGCTGAGACCAGTTCACAATGTAGGAGACACAGCTGGTGACACCATCGAGCGTGAGGGCAGGGACTGGCCAGGGAGGGCCACTGAATTTGATTCCTCATACTCTGATGCCCTGTCTGATGCCAGGCATAAAGGGTAGGGTCCCCAGGAATGGCAGTTTCAGAGGGTCAAACTCCTGCAGTGTCACCTGTCCTCTGAGCAAGCAGGCCGGGTCATCCTCCCCTGGGGAGTAGACAAGGCCTCCAGCACGAGCTGGGGACTGTCCTGGGAGGGGGCTCCCACTGCAGCTCCTCGCTGATCCCCCTCCCTGAGGCTCCCTAACCCTGAGGAAACCCAGGCCCCAGGTCTGTAGGATGCAGGGTAAGGACGAAGTCCATCCTCGGTCAACACGCAGTGAACAAGGTGGAGATCTGGCTGCTTCCGCCCCACACATGGGCTGCCTGTGTCCAGTCATGCCAGTGTATCAGGACGAGACACCAGGTGACCTGTAAAGAGCAGAGGTTTATTTCTCACACTTTCGGGCTCTGAGAAGTCCAATATCAAGGGAGCTGCCCTAGATGGGGCCCTTCTTGCCGCGTAGTCCCCTGTGAAAGGCAGAAGGGCAGGAGCATGCATAGGCGGAGGTAAACTGCTCCGGACAGGGCGCCTGCTCCTGGGGCCACTGACCCCCTCCCGGGACAGCAGCAGCTCTCTGTTCACGAGGGCAAAGCCTTGTGACCTCCCCGCACTGCTGCATTCATCACTGGGCTTCAGTTCCCAACACACGAACTTTGGGGACACAGTCAAGCCACTGCACCATTTGGGCTGCAGACCTGGTCGCAGCGGAGCGTCCACTGCAGAGCTGAACTCTTACCTCCTGGGCGGAGGCACAGGTGAGTGCATCCCTGCACGGCTTCCCCCTGGGCCTGAGGAGGCTGCAGGTAAGATGTGCAAATATCCTGGGAACCCAAGCACAGGCCTTGGGTCCCCCAGTGAAGAGGAAGCCAACTGAGAGCTGAGGAAGCCAGGGCGTCTTCAGAGTTCAGCGTGGGGGTGGGGCAGCTGGCGCATGCGCAGACAGAGCCTGGCCTGACCCCGGTGACCCCGGAGACCCGCGGGAAGGCGGGGCCAGGACCCGGCAGAAAGCAGCGCATCGGGGCTTAGCCGGGCTGGAGCACTTAATTTTGTGGAAATCTGGGTCTGAAATGAAATGAGCCTTCGGGGAAGAGATTTAATACTGTCTTGGAGCCTTTGTCTTCATTTAGGGCGACGGGGATTGCGTTTATCGCGGCTTCTCCCTTCGTCCCAGTTACATTTATTCCGGATTTATTCACTTACGAGTCTCGCAACAAGAAGTTGAAATGAATAAATGTACTTTTTTTCCCCGAGCTACATTAATTTTGGAGTCAGATTTATTCTGCCCGCTGCTCCCCTTCTGGTTACTGATGAGCCGCGGAGGCCGCTTTGGGGCTGCACCAGGGAGGTGAGGCTGAGCTCTGGGGGTGCAGAGCGGAGGAGCTCTGGCTTGTGGGAGAGGGAGGTGACAGTCGTCCATGCAGAGGGCTGTGGTGAGGCGCAAGAGTGAAGTCAGGGCAGGGCAGCTACTTTCTGAGCCAGAGTAGGTGTTGTGGGAACTGTGTCCCCTCCCCCCAAAAAAGAATGCGGAAGTTCTATCCACACTGCGGCTAGTGATCGGGACTTCATGGAAGCAGAGTTTTGCAGAGGTAATCAGCTTTGCAGCAAGTAATTAGCGCTGCCTCTAATCCAGCAGATGAGCTGAGCGTCTTCGGAAGAAGAAAGGTTACACACACATAGGAGAAGCCCCAAGATGACAGGCTCATGTGGGAGAGGGCCGGGCCGGATGGCCCCGCTATACATCAATCCCTCTCACCACAACGGTTATGGGTTAAGAACTGGTGGTCAACTTAACGCCAGCTGGATTACATCAGCATGGCACTGAGGGAAGATGCTCCACCTGAGGAGGGTTGCCAGGATAAATAGGTGGAGAAGAAGGGAGGTGTTGAGATGCTGAGGCGTTAATGCGTCCTTGCCTTGAAGCATTGTGGGTTCTCCTACGAGTTGCTGTCTGAGCTGTTGGTTCTCCTGGAGAAGCTTTGGTCCTCACATCGAGCATTGCTTCCATCGAGCATTGCTTCCTGGCTCCGGAGGGGAAGACATGTGCTGCTTGGTCTCCAGGATGAACTCGTCACGCTGCTTCCTGGCATGTACCCGACTGTGCTTGTCCTCGGAGGAGCTCGGGGCCTCCGTGTCACTGAGGACGGCTGTGGTGCCTTTCAGGACAGCCCTGGTCTCTGTTGTGAGTGTGACTTCTCAGCTCCAACACAGAACCCTCATCCTACCAGCACAGCTCCTTCAGCCCGCTGGCATGGACTTTCTGGCTTCCACCGCTGACCTTTGGGCCTTCCCAGCACGGATCCATAAGAGACTGGTGTGAGTCCTTCTTGTGGGCTCTGGACCTCCAGTTGGACTCATGGGAGGTGTTGTCATGAGTTTTCATCTGGACTCATGTGGGACTTAGGCTCTTGACTAAATATTCTATGTCTCTGGTGTTGCAGATAGATTTCCTGCATTTTCTTGTGTTAACTCCTGGTGACCATTATAAAAATAATACTATAAACTCCATGTCCTGATTCTAATTGTTCTCTGCACAACCCTTAACTACAACAACAAACTCACCCCACAAGGCCAGCACTGGTCCCTTGTGAGGACAGTGCACCCAAAGCCCAAATCACCTTCTCTACCTCTTTATGGCATCACCACTCCTTGACATCACCAGGGGACCAAGTTTCCAGCTCATGAGCTCTTGGAGAACAGGTCAAACCACACCCAAACCATGTCCCTAAGGAGCTCCAGGAACCCTCAATTACACCCGAAACTAAGAAGGATTCTCCCCAGACTCACATAGAACATAGCCCCTGACACTTGGACCTTGGGCTTTGGCTTCCTGTGAGAGAATAAATTTCCATTGTTTTAAAACAGCCACTTTGGCACTTTGTTATGGCAGCCCTAGGACGCTACCATGGTAGGTATGTGTATCTGTCAAATGAATGAATGCAAGAATGAATCATTCACAATGGGAATGATTGAGGGTCTTCACTGAGAAATCCTCTACTATGTTCTTGGGGTGAAGCAAGCCAAGACACTGTCATACTTTTAGCAAGTCTGTCTTATGGATACTGTGGTCCCCCTTCCATGGCTGTGTCCTGTCCTGGGGTGAGTTAAAAGTCAAAGATAAATCTAGTTTGGAGTAGCTGGGGGGGGGATTGTATTTTCATGGGACTCCTGCACCACAGAGAGACAGGAAATGGATTCTTCAACTTCTTCAATGCACTGGTGTTGGTCACAATGCTCGTGAGTTCTAGGTCCTTCTTTCCAGAGTAGCATTTCCATTCTGCCCTTAGCCGGAGCCCCACCCGCCCCCACGGCCTGTGGGCTCTCAGCCAGCACACCACCTAGGGAAAGGAGATGAGCGAGGGCACCCCTGGGAAGAGTGAAAAGGAGGCCCAGATGTGGTGCCCGCTGGAGCAGCTAAAACTCCAGACACTGCTGCTCCTGGGTCAGGACCTCCCCCGAGGTTGTCAGGTGTCGCCATGCCTGACCCTGTTGATGCACCCCCTTCTGTTCACCCACCTGCTCGCTCCTGGGTCTTGTCAGTCTCTGCTGGGCAGATCAGGGAAAGGCCAATCCATGGCTGCCCTAGAGCCCTGGCATCCAGCCTGGTCCACTCACAGTGACCTCAACCTACTCCTGCTACAACGATCCGCACACAGTGCCCGTGCCAGCGCCTAGGTGACAAGAGAGTGTGCCTGAACATGTGACAGAGGTGACAGGTGACTGAAACACTGGACTTGTGATCAAGGACGTCCTCAAGAAGGGGGGGGGGGCAGTGGGGAAGTGTCCCTTCCTGAGCACTCAGCCTTGTCCAAACTGATCAGTGTCACCTCAGGCCACCCCGAGGTTGGGATGTTGGGGTTCAAATGACTTGAAGACCAATCTGCCAGGTACCTGCCTATTTCTTCCATGCTTGATGTGGGGTGGTATTGGGATTTGGACCTAATACGCCCCCTAGAGGCTCACAGGGCCATAGGCAGGTCTTTGGGGAGATAATTAGATAATGACCGCATTGACTTCATCTATGGATTAATTCATGGATGATCCACAATTTGACAGCTTAACAGGGAGGTGAGGGAAACTTAGGAAGGGCCTAGTTCAAGGGAGCGGGGCATGGAGCACGACCCTGGGGACTATCTTGTCCACACCTGATTCGCCGCTGCTGCTCCTCCTCCCTCTTCTCCTCCTCTCCTTCCTCTCCCCTCCTTTTCCTCCTCCTCCTCTGCACCTTCCCTGTTTTCCTCTCCCTCCCTTCTCTTCTCTCACTTCTCCCCCTCTCTCCTGCCCAGCTGCAGTGCGATGAGCAGTATTGCTCTGCTTGTCTCTTTACCATGATGCTCTGCCTCCCACAAGCCCAGAAACAGTGGATCCAGCCAAGCATGCACTGAAACCGTAGCCCACACAAACCTTTGCTTCTGTGGGTTGTTTTACTGGGGTATTTTGTCACAGTGAGGGAAAGCTAACACTGGCAGGAGGGTTAAGTCACAGGGTAGAGTGTGTGCTGGTCACACAAGGCCTACTTGTTCCCACCACCGTAGGACCTCACAGAAGGAAACATCATTCTTCATCACGTGCTGAAAAGCAAAATTAAAGGTGACTTGTCTGGAGCTCTCTCTTCTCCTGGAGGCTGGCCCCAGGTTCCGGTGTGCTGCAGCCCAGCTCAGATGTTCCCCATAGCAGATCCCATCAGGCCGCTTGTCTTGGTCACTTTCCTCATTTCTGGGACACGTAGCCAACTACTACAATTTGAAAAAGGAGAAGGTTATATGGGCTAACAGCTTCAGAGGTCTCAGTCCAGATTCAAGTGCAAACACAGCGTGGTGGCAGGGTCTGCCACAGGGGAAAGCTGTTCACATCACGGCAGCCAGACAGCAGAGGGGATGGGAGGAGCCAGGGAGCCACATACACACTTCCAGTCCACACCCCCAGTGGCCTGGCTCCTCCAGCCAGGCCTCACCTCCCCACACTACCCTGGCTGTGAACCCGTCATTGGGCCCATCCACTAATGAGCATCGCACAACATGACACAATCACCCTCCAAACGTATGAGACTTTGGGGGACATTTCAGATCTAAACCACAATGCCGTACCGGTATCCAGCAGCCCGGGTGTCAGCTGCAGCAGCAAATTGGCCAGACTGAGCTCTTCTGCCCCACTGGATTAACTGGTCACATCACTGGATTGGGCAAGTCAATGAATTACTTATGGGTCAGGAAGCTGCAAATTCCTTCTCCAGAAAGGACCGGGAGGTTCTGTTTACCCCACAAGCTAGGGCTTTGCAACCTGAGCCAAGTCAGGTGCTCCACAGCACTCCCCTGCGGCCCATCTTGGTATCTTCCAGCCCAGGTACCTGGGCCAAGCGCCCTCCTTGCCATTCTCTGTCTGCTTGTTGCCAATGCCAACCACCACCTAGACCTCCACAGCCCTGAACCCTGCATGTCACTCTTTATGAACGTGTGATTCTTAGCACCTCGCTTTCCCTGCACCTGCCCTCGTGAAATCCTAATAAACAGGATAAGAATGGACTAACATTTACTGTGCCCTTGCTCTTGGCCAGTTCCCCATCTATGATCACACTGAAGCTCTCAACAAGCAGATGAGGGGGATGCCCATGTTACAGGTGAGGAAGCTGGCACCCAAAGGTGCTGCATAATTTGCCTGGGGTTAAGGCAAAATCAGGGATTGAATGAGAATGAAGGCCCAGAGGGGATGCAGGATATAAGCAATTAATTAGGGTGCTCTCATCCATGTTTCCTTAGATGTCACTTCCATGGAGGGTCTGTGTCACCTTTCCTCCCTGCCCTGGGAAATGTTACCTGCCCCTCCCCTGAGCTCCTGGGCACCTTTCATGCACCGCTCTGACATGCCTCACATCGTGGAAGTTAATTTTCTGTATGGTAGGTTATTAACCAGGCTGTGGGCTGGGGAAAGGACTCTCCAATTCATCACTGTACCCTCGATCTGACATGTTGGGGCCACACATTATGCTAGGATGGTGATCCCATCCTGGTCCCTTGCCTTGGATTGGCATATAACAGACAGGAAGGACAGGGAGGACATGTATATATCAGCTCAGGAAACAAGAAGTTTACAGTTTCAAATGCGTGAGTGATCCCTTTGTGCTGGGATTCAAACAATGTCTCTGAGCTCAGGGTCTTCTTTATGCCTACTGACAGAATCTTTCTAAGAAGGCTCAGGGTTTGCTCCCCCTGGGTCCAATCCACAGGAAAGAATAGTTCTTATCAAAATCCCAGATCTGTCTTTCTGGGACCCAGGCTGGACCATTCATCTGACACTAACCAACATCAATGACCAGGGAGAGAATGAGCATTGATTGGTCAGTCTAGATGGGGGTACAGAGTGTGTGCTGATTGGCTAAGTCTAGATAACATGCCTGCCAGGAGGTGGAGCATCCACTGATTGGCTCAGTCTAGATCACATGTCCAAAAGGGGCAGAACCAGCACCATTCAACCACACGGCCTAAAAGGAGCAGAAAGGAAGGGAAAATGGCCCCCCTAAGGCCCTAGAGAGAGGCATAGATGGCTTTGCCAGTGCTGACTCCGGGTCCTCTTCACAAACCTGTGGCTGTCCTCTTGAACCCTAAATCTTGTGATGGCCCTTAGGATACCATCCAGAGAATTCTGAGTTAGAAATTAAACCTATGGCTTTGCCCCTAAAGGTCCTGGAGGCATGGGTGGGCCTGACTAGGTTGGGGTTCCCATCCCCTCACCTGCTGGCAGCGTGCAGTACAGGCAGAGAAACCGAGATTCCCCTGCCCTCTCTCGCTCCCTTTGTCCAGCTGAGCTGCGTTACCCAAATGACCCAGCGGAGAGACCCGTCCAGTAAATACACTTTCCCTCTCAGTTATGTCCGGCCACTGCTAGGACACCTTCCCAAGAGCTATGTGCAAGAGCTTTCAAAAATATCCCTATCACGCAGGCCTTGCAGGGCAGCGATCATGATGAGGGACGCAGACTTTGAAGCTGGCTTCAAATCAGTTTGACCACTTTTCTGGCTTACTTAGCCACTCTGCTTCTGTTTCCTTTTCTGTAAAATAACAGTGAAAAATAGCACTTAGCTCAGAAGGCTGCTGTGAGGGCTGGATGAGTTAAAATATAGAGGATGTTTGGCCACTGGAGATTGTGCTACTGGTGTTGTGTAAGTGCTCGCTACATCTCCACCGTTAGCATTCAGTGTGCACTGGCACGGGGCAAGGCTTGGAAGTGGCCCCTTTGTGCACACTCACAGGCTACACCAGTGAGAGGAGCTGGTGTC